TCATATATTATTATTGTTGTGGTGGTTGTCGAAAGGAAATATGCATTACGAAAATCTGAGTATAAATAAACGGATATAAAAGTGGTGTCAGAAGTGGGATATCCTTCACAATGGATCAAATACCGCCAGAACTTCTTCAGGCGCTTACGAACATGATGACAAATGCAATTCAATCGGCAGCAACAACAGCAGCAGCAAACGCCGTTCCTCCTGTAAGCAACGCAGGTGCATCCGGGGACCATAACAACTCATCAACCAGACCCCCAGCATTTTCTATAGGCGAGTACCGTGCCATCGATGAACTAGCAGTCGGAGATTATTTCAAACGATTTGAATGGGCGTTACAATTGTCGAAAATCCCAGAGAACGATTACGGAAACTACGCGCGCGTGCACATGGGCGCAGAATTAAACAATGCACTAAAATTTTTGGTAAACCCTCGCTCACCCGAAGAACTCTCCTACAATGAGGTAAAAAAAAAATCTTATTGATCATTTTGACCGAACAAAAAACAAATAGGTACGCAGAGAGTATAAAATTTCGACAAATAACTCAGCAAGAAAATGAAACAATTGCACAATTTGCTCTCCGCTTGCGGCAAGGCGCGGCCCATTGCGATTACGGTGACTTTTTTGATAGAATGCTGGTTGAGCAACTTCTCCACGGACGTCGGTCTCGTGAAATGTGCGATGAGGTCATTGCTAAAGACCCTGCAAATTTTTCAGATGCATATAAAATTGTCCACGAGCTCGAGACGACGCACCACACAGCAAGCGAAGTGAAAGTATCAGCATTCGTACCCGCACCAGAATTTACGAATAAATTAGGATTCGACGTGACCACAAACCATACCTCTTTAAACCTTTGCTTGGGGGCCGAGCACCGCACCAAGGACTTCAAAGAGCGCCGCTGCGAAACACTCGAGAAGCACCGCAAGATGGAGACAAAGGAAGCCGATTTTCTTGTAATGGCTGCGGGGGCGCACACTTACGAATCCAATGTTTCTTTTTCGACAAAATGTGCAGAAACTGCGGAAAAAAGGACACATCAGCCGTGTTTGCAAATCGGGACAACATACCACAGCACAAATTTCTGACCCAGAACAATCTGTAGACAGGATAGAACAAGATAATATCGATTGTGTTGAATATTTTGGTAATATCAACATTATTAGCGGCACTAAACCAGCAGACCGCCACTTGGTTGAGGTACATATTGACGGTCACCCAGTAAAAATGGAACTTGATACCGGTACACCATGTGCCATAATCAGTGAGAAAACTTTGCGGTCCATTAAACCAATTGTTTAATTCAGATAGACGATTTGCCAGTTATACTCGCCACAGAATTAGCTGCCTGTTCGAGGGACGATCAAAAACAAAACACGAAGACTCAACCTTTATGTCGTGAAAGGCGATTTTAATGCTTTATTGGGTCTAGAATGGATCGCTCATTTTGTCCCAGAAATCAATTTCCCTAAACTTTTTCCAGAACCAGAACAGATTCGCACAATATCCACAGCAGCCCCATGTCTCTCTCAAGACCAGAAAGCACGATTGGGTCAACTACTGACCAAACACGAAGACGCATTCAGCAAAACAGCGGGGCTATTAAAGGGTCCACCTGCAACACTGCACCTAAAGCCTGGAGCATCGCCAGTTTTTGCAAAAGCAAGAGAAATTCCGTTATCTATTCGTGAGACGTATGCTCAGGAAATTGAAGCCAAAATCGCATCAGGGCACTACAATAAAGTTGAATATTCAAAATGGGCATCAACAACACACGTAGTTACAAAGAAAAATGGAAAACTACGCGTTACAGGCAACTACAAGCCAACACTCAACCCTCGCAGGATAATCGACGAGCACCCAATACCCAAACCTGAGCACATTTTCAATCAGATGAAAGGTGCTAAATTCTTTTGCCACCTGGACATCACCGACGCATATTCGCACCTTCCAGTCGACGAGGAATTTGCCGAGGCCCTGACGCTTAATACCCCAACACATGGATTGATTCAGCCCACGCAAGCAGTTTACGGGGCAGCGAACATCCCTGCAATTTGACAACGACGCATGGAATCCGTACTTTAAGGCCTTCCAAACGTAAGAAATTTCTTTGATGATATCATCATACATGCAGAAAATTTTGAAAGCCTCCTGGAAATCGCCGACATGACTTTGGAACAGATAAAATCTCACGGACTTCGACTCAATCGGGAAAAATGCGTTTTTGGAACAATTTCAGTCGAGTTTCTAGGTCACAAAATTGATAAATCAGAAAAACACATTGAAGCCATTTGTGATGCACGAAAACCAACCTCGCCAGAAGAACTGCAGCTTTTTCTCGGCAAAGCCACTTATTACAGTTCGTTTATTCCTGATTTGTCAACAAGAAACCGTCCGCTGCGCAACGTGCTTCTTAAAGATCCTTTTGAATGGACACCAGAAGCCGAAAAAGCATTTGAAGACATTAAAAATGCATTAATGTCGCCTCAAATCCTAATGCCGTACGACCCATCACTCCCTTTAATCTTGGCAACTGACGCCAGCAAAACAGGCCTTGGTGCTGTCCTATCCCATCAACTCAAGGACGGACGAGAACGCCCAATTGCCTACGCAAGCCGAACCCTGAGTTCTACGGAACAAAGATATCCTCAAATTGATAAAGAAGCACTTGCCATAGTTTGGGCAGTACAAAAATTTTTCTTCTATCTGTACGCCCGACATTTTACACTTTTCACTGACAATAAACCACTCTCACAGATCATGCACCCAGAGAAATCGCTACCTATCCTCTGCATCAGCCGCATGGCAAATTATGCTGACTACCTCGCTCACTTTAACTATGACATATACTTCAAACCAACAAAACTTAACGCCAATGCTGATTATTTCTCCCGCGCACCATTGCGCACACCCGCGATCAGCAACATTCGTCCAAGTTCCGCGCAGGGCGGGAAAGAGGAGGAAGAATTTGATGAATTTGATCACTTCATTATAAAACAAATGCAGCAACTGCCAACACGCGCAGAAAATATTGCCCAAGAAATAGCTAAGGACCCTCACCTTGGAAAAATCCTTCGCTTACTACAATCAGGGCAGAACCTGGCTCGCGCAGGATACAATGCCCCTGAGGCAGAATATAAACTTGCCGCTAACTGCTTGGTTTTTGAACACCAAATGATTGTCCCACAGAAATTGCGTCAAGCTGTTCTCAACGACTTACACGCAACCCACTTGAGCATTGTGAAAATGAAGGGCATGGCACAGACGCAGACATCGAGTATATCGCTAAATCGTGTGACGACTGCGCAAAACACGCACATGCACCTCCAAAATTTCGTGAGCACCATTGGGAATACCCGCATGGACCATGGGAGCGAATTCACATTGACTATGCTGGCCCTTTAGCTGGAAAAATGCTGCTCATCGTCTCCGATGCCTACAGCAAATGGCTAGAGGTAAAAATTACGAACACGACAACTGCAGCCGCCACCATCACACTCCTCGACGACCTATTCACGTCTTATGGAGCTCCCCAAACTGTTGTCTCAGATAATGGCACAGTTCACATCTTCGTAACTCAAAAACTTTCTGCGATATAGCGGGGTCAAGTACCATAAACTCACAGCCCCTTATCACCCCTCGACCAATGGCCAAGCGGTGTGTCAAGAAACCCCTACAAAGTTTCTCGCCAAGTTAAACGGTCAACAAGTGCAAGACGCTCCTAGGGGGGAAGAAATGTTGTGTCTTTGGTACTACAATTTATAATTTATTGTTGTTTAAATATTGGTGTGCGCGTATGTATGTGCTTATTGTTAGACTAGTTGTTAATTGTTATTGTTGTCATATATTATTATTGTTGTGTTGGTTGTCAAAAGGAAATAAGCATTACGAAATTAAAATAAAGAGTTAACGAAAATCTGAGTATAAATAAACGGATATAAAAATTAAGTAACTATTTCCTGGTTCCATAGCTTTAGGCTAAAACCACAGAAGACAAAAACACAAAAGCGACACTCGTTGCTCCCGCCCTAACCGGATTATATCCAAATGGCTATTTTTACTGATTTTAACAAAAGAAATTTTAATACTATTGTTATTATGGGTAAAATACACAGACCACCAAAACAAATGGACGGCTCATTGCCATTCAATAACAATGCTTTGTTTGCGGTCAACAAACGGTCACAGTCTAAGCGTCAAATTGGAGATAGAATTTTATGTTTTCTTCCAGTGACGTCAACAAACGGTCACAGTCTAAGCGTTAAATTGGCGATAGAATTTTATGTTTTCTTCCAGTGACGTATTGGGATTAAAAAATAATAAATAGGTAGGTACTTACAAACGATATTTCCATGTATTGTTATTTTAAAATAATGTATTTAAACTCCATAATTAACTTAAACACGATAGAAATACACAAACGAAAACACAAAACAACAAGCTGTCAACCTTTTTCTATGCTGTCCAATATGATGAATTTACCAACGTTGTTAATATTTAATTTTAATAATTATTAAATGATTTACTTTCTTTAAATAGAGAAAAATATCTAAAGAAAATGATGAACAAATCCTTTTTACAATTTTTTTATTATTCAAACGAACTACTGGTAATTATTAATGTTCATTATGTTATGATGAACGTCCAAAAAGGCGTGTAATCTATACTTCTGACAACGTTGGAAGCCGTGTTTCTTTCGACGGTGTTTAGAATGTGAAACTATGCTTTACTCGCTTTTTAAACGTAAACAAATCCGTCCATTTGTTTTGGTGGTCTGTGGTAAAATATTGCCTATCTTGCATATTTTATGTTGCATCTGGTCTCTAATATACCACCAGAAAGATGGCTGAAGGTCACCAAAATTTACCACATAATTTCATATTTAATATAATGTAAATATATAATATATTATAGGTACTAAATTGAATAAATAATAAATAATTTTTCAAAAAAACATTTGTTTTATGAATTTTTTTATCAAATTTATTTTAGGGGCTGCTGGAGCCTTGATGGTTTACGATATCACTCGTAGGTCCACTTATAACCACTTAAGTAGTTGGTTAACGGACACAAGAAATCTTACAAATCCTAGTACTGTTATATTTCTTATTGGGAACAAGTGTGATTTAGAGGGACAACGAGATGTTACTTATGAGGAAGCTAGCAAATTTGCCGAAGAAAATGGTCTCATGTTTGTTGAAGCCAGTGCAAAAACGTAAGAAAAAATATGATTTTTTATTTATTTATTCACTTAATTAAAATTGTTGACATAAATACATAATATTAAATTAGGTACTATTATTAGGTAACTATTAAAATTTAAATAGCTTATATAAAAATATTTAATATGCACATTTTTATTCATAATGGGTTTAAATTTAAAAAAATATCTCATGACATGTGTTAAATGTTAATGGGTGATTCTACAAAAGTTGGACAACTTGATGTCATCAGTCAATAGAGTAGGTATTTTAATATTTTTTGTAAATATTTTAGTATATTACTAAAGATCCAGTTTTTTTTAACTTGTCCACCCAATTTTAATGTATTTTTTCAAACGCACGTTTGTAGAAAAACAATAAATATTCAAAACATCAGTACCTTGGCATGTCACAACTCCTGAATCAAATATTTGAGTGATTTTATTATAAAATATATTCAATTTATCTTAAATTTTTCAATTTCACTACAAACTATAAAACATTAAATAATTGATAATCTTTGTACTCACTTTTACCCGTCAGTTCTGTGTCCAATGTTAAAATTCAAAATTCCTGTGAAATATTGAAGTTTAAACGTCAAGTACTCGTTTTAACTCAAGTGTTGGTAAAAAATTACCTACAGAGCCCGCCCTTTGCACGACAGTAATCTTGAAAACAATGCAAGCGGCGAAGTTGTGGTGAATGCACGTATAGTTTCAGTCAAAATTTCAGTACTGTAGTGAGTAGTTATTCCCTTACGTATACATATATATTTCATTGTAATTTATATAAGGCTATGACGGTGGTCGAGTGGTTAGTGCAGCTGACTACAAGCCGGAGGTCGTGGGTTCGAATCCCACCAGGGGTATGGCTGTTTATTTGTGTTTGTCCTATTGTGTATTAGTCCTTCGGAGGGGACTTTAAGCCCGCGGTCCGTTCCTACCCCTAACCCGCACAAGCCATTCAGTTGGCTTATGGGACTTCTTAAGAAGTAAGGGTGGAACTAAAAGAGCACTTTTATATATAAACTTTTTATATGTGATTTGTATATATTTCATTGTAATTTATATAAGGCTATATGTGATTTGTTGATAAGTAGCATCCACTAATAAAAAATATCAGTAAAATACTTAATTTCGAATTATAAACTTAAATTTGTATCCCATTCATGAGTACCGTGTTGTCAGTTCCATGTTCGATGTTTCGGTTATCTTTTTTTCGCAAACTTCAATTTAAATTCTGCTTGCGCAGAACTTGTTTATTAAATGTCATTATAAACTCATATAAATTTGGTGTGGGTCCCATATCTAATAATTGAGATATCGGTATACCCAAAATCCACTATTTGATTTTAAGATATTTAATGTATAATATGCTCAAAGTTGCAATAAATCTTTATTTTACAATAAATTATGTATTTAATTAGTACCCTGGTATACTCATCACTTCTATTCAAATTTAGAAAACACAGATATTTCAGAAACTGTTTGAAAAAGTGACTGGCCTAGTCTGGAACAGTATATTTATTATATTATCTATGTTCTCATAACAAAATACTGTTTAATTTTTTCCGAAAACGATAGAAACAAAATGAGGTCAAAAGTTGCCCAACTTTTGTAGAATCACCCTAATGTTAATTTAAAATAAAGTGTTAAAAATCACACGTAATTCCTACACATAACTTGTGTAAAATATGCACGAAATTGAACATTTTAAATTCTACCTTACCTATTAATTTTGGCCTTGGTTTATTTTTACTGTGTTTAGTGAAGAATCCCAAAAAAATGTATTTGGGGAATTCCTGGGAAATACACAAACAAAAATGTCAAATTACTGGTAAAAATTTCTAAAAAGGATCAAAAGGTTTTGGCCATTCAATAAAATTATCAGGGATGAATCTTTGGAACATATTTATTTTAAAGTAATGATGTCAGTGTTAAGAAGATATCCAATAATAATAACTGTTTAACGTTGCCAACCCTCCCGAATATCTATCGAAAACTCCCGATTTGTATGCGTTTTTTATTAACTTTTGTTGTTACTTTTTTTCCACCTTTATTTATAATATAGTGTATTTACATAAACGATATTTTCTGTTTTTTTTTTAATATTGCATTATAAACATGATTTTTAAAAATTCTTGAAAAATTGCTTTTATGAAGAAACCAAAAATTATCATCAGCACAGACTGGGTTGTATAAATATAAGTAACTTTTCGTTTCAACCTTGTCTATGGTTTTAACATAACTTGCTGCGCATTCAATTTTAACTTAAAATAAAAAAAAAAGATTTTCAATCAGGTCATTATTTTAAAAGTTGCAATATAATACAAACTGCAAAGACAATCGGATTTTACATAAAACATTAACCATTTTTAGCATGTCAACCATAAGAATGTATTAATCTCGTGAGGGATTGCCTTTTACCAATTGTTAGGGTCTTCAAGACATTTTGCAAAAAAGATATCTTAGATTACACTGTGCAACACAAAAAATGAACTGGGATCAAATCTAAAAAAATCGAATCTAGGCAACCCCCAAAACAAATCCTTTAAGGGGTTTTACCAGTTTAGCTCGAATAATGGAGATATACATATATATATGTACACTGTACATTGTACAGTGTTTCTTTTAACTTGAGACAGCTCAATATCTCGAGAAATACGCATTTCACGGAAAAATGTCTTAAATAAAAGGTTAATGTGACTAAAGGGGACATTATTTGGTGATACCGCTAGACACCCCCTACCCCTCCTTAAGGGTGAAACGGGGGGTAACTTTGGAAAGTCAAATGGAATGACCCGATTTTTTTCACAGAGTTTGGTAGTACATAAAAAAGTTAATAACTTTTATTTGAAAGTTTTTTTTCTATTTATCAACAGATGGCGCTGTAATTCAAAATTTAAGAAAAATGAGTTTCCTTGTAAAATGTATTATTTGAAACGTTTGAAAAACAAAAATTAACATTAACAACAATAGTCGGCTATGAAAACAATTTATAACAAATGTTCGAAATCTCGTCATTCCATTTCAACACATTTTTGAATGCAGGTAATGAATTCTGGCACACAACGCGCCAACATATCGGGCGGTATCGCCGCACAGGCGTTCCTGATCCGCTCCACCATGTCCTCCCAAGTTGTAGGAATTGCAGCGTAAACTTTTTCTTTCAAGTAACCCCACTGGAAGAAGTCTGGTGGCGTAAGATCAGGTGATCGAGCAGGCCAAATTACTGGATCACGTCTACCGATCCACCGCGGTGCACCGGCCATTGAACTCCCGATCCAACACCTCTCGAGCAATTGTCGAATAATGTGCAGGACAACCATCTTGCTGGTACCACATGTTTTGGAGCCGTGCTAGTGGTACATCCTCCAAAAGGTCCGTCAGATCGTTTTCTAGAAAATTCCGGTACTTTTCGGTATTTAATGCACCGTCAATAAAGAAGGGTCCGATTAATCGTTCGCTTAAGGTACCGCACCAAACGTTTACCAACCAGGGACGCTGGTGCTCCACTTGGTGTCGAAATGGAAGGACGACATTTCGAACATTTGTTATAAATTGTTTTCAGAGCCGACTATTGTTGATTTAATGTTAATTTTTGTTTTTCAAACGTTTCAAATAATACATTTTACAAGGAAACCCCTTTTTCTTAAATTTTGAATTACAGCGCCATCTGTTGATAAATTGAAAAAAACTTTCAAATAAAAGTTATTCATTTTTTTATGTACTACCAAACTCTGTGAAAAAAATCGGGTCATTCCATTTGACTTTCCAAAGTTACCCCCCGTTTCACCCTTAAGGAGGGGTAGAGGGTGGCTAGCGGTAGCACCAAATAATGTCCCCTTTGGTCACATTAACCTTTTATTTAAGACATTTTTCCGTGAAATGCGTATTTCTCGAGATATTGAGCTGTCTCAAGTTAAAAGAAACACCCTGTATATCCCCATTATTCGAGCTAAACTAGCAAAACCCCTTTAAAGATTAGTTTTGGGGGTTGCATAGATTCGATTTTTCCACATTTCATCCCAGTTCAAATTGTAAGGTCAAAATTTGTCGCACAGTGTTATTTCCCCTTATAAAATAAATAATAAATTTTGTTTAGATAAGCGATTAAGTCACTAGAACTGTTTAACAGCCTCCATATTGGATTCATAGACAAGGTATAGGTTGGGTGGGCAGGGGGTATAGTTAGAAAGGCAACTTAGTTTTAAAGTTTTGTTCCATTACTACTTTACCTTCACTAGATAAATAACTCTAATATTTTTCTAGGCAAGTTAAAAGAGGAATAATAAAACTACATTTTTGTAATTATTTTATTTGTCAAAGTTACAAAATATTTAGAAGCAAAACTAAAAACAACTTAAAATCATATGAACTTATCTAACTATTCCATTCCTAATATTATTCTATAAGGTGAAATAAATTTATAAATAAAAGAACAATACAAATTTTAAGACTTGGTGCTTACTAAGCACTGTTTATAGAATCAACATATTTTTTTTTATTTGGTCAAAGATACATACCTTATCGTTTTTTGGAAGTCGATGCATTTTTACACTATCTCCCCTGCTTTTGCACTTTTGTACACAACAAGAATAAACCATAATGAATACACAATACAATCTTAAAAGGTTATAAAGACAAATTTAGGTTATTCTTTCATGTCTAATTATTATGACAACTGTCATTATGACAACGGTAGTATCGGTGACAAAACCAACTTTGGCGACATTGGTGCCTCTGGCAAGCGTAGTCTAAACTTCTCAGCGGACAAGTTTTTGTACACTAAAGATGCACAACCATGATTGGATATTTGTTTACGATTTTATGTTGTTATTTAGGTACAAGTTTTAACATACATTTTTTAAAAAACAATAAAAAGTAAGTTATCCAGTTTACAAAATATCAATTATTAATTGTCAAATAGTTTCCTTTAATTCTAGAAATATATCTCTCAACCTATAAATTTAATCTTTCAAACTATATACTCAGTAAGTTTTTTATTTGATTTTTCTTTTTAGAAAATAGTTTAATGCAATTTAATTAAAAATAAAACCCTCGACCGCTACGCGGTCTCGTGATTTTATTAAATTATTTTGCATTCAACATTTTACAAGAAAAACCAAACAAAAATCTACTGAGCCTAGTTTAACCAATTAAATTCATTATTTCCCTCATTATAAAATGAACCAATCAAAAGCCTTGAATTTTCGAATAAATTTTGTTTAGATAAGCGATTAAATCACTAGACCTGTATAACAGCGATTCAATTTTAGCCTCCATATTGGATTTTTATTTACGATTTTATGGTGTTATTTAAAAGTTTTAACATACATTTCTTAAAAAACAATACAAAATAGGTTATCTAGTTTACGAAATATCAATTATTAATTATTACCTACCTTTAAATTAATGGAATTTTATTCAAAAAATTGTTCATAAATTTTGACATATACCTACGTCAGATTTTATTAATTGTAATTATATATGTTATGGCTAATGTGCAAACTTGGATAGTTTATAAACTAGCTGGATAGTTTATAAACTAGCCAAACTGTCAGCTATTTTAATTGAAAATGTATTTTCAACTAAATTAGCGGCTAGTTTACAAAATAACCAAGGATCTTGGCTAATTTACTTGAAATTATTAGGGAAACTAAAATAGCTGGATAGTTTGTATACTATCCAATTCAATTTGGCTAATATGAAAACCAAAATTTCTAGTAACACAAAATAGCCAAGCTTTAGCTAGTTTGTAAACTATAACCAACTAATTCTCTGGCTAATTTATTAAAAAAGTGAGGTTACGGCATTGTTTTTCGTTTTGCCGGCTTAACCGGATTTGTTTTGTGCATTTTAACGTTTTTAAAATGAATCATAGGCAAAATTTTAACGCTTCCTTGTTAGAAAACTCAACAACACAACCCTACCGACCCCGCCCCATTGACCCCCCCCCGCCCCATTGGTCAAATGGTCAAAAATGAGAGAAAAAACCCAAACCAACCCAAACTCAGCAACACAACCCAACCGACCCCGCCCCATTGGGCCCCCGCCCCATTGAGCAAAAAACGCAACTAAAATGGGCAAAAATGAGAGGAAAACCCAACTAAAATATGAGGAAACCCAACAAAAATTGGCAAAAATTGCGAAAATATGCAAAAAAATTGTAAAAAAATTAATTTTCATAAAATCCCGCAAAAGTCAAAATTGTGACGTTATACGAAATTAGCCAGAGAATTAATTGGTTGGTTAGTTTACAAACTAGCTAAAGCTTGGCAATTTTGTGTTACTAGAAATTTTGGTTTTCATATTAGCCAAACTGAATTGGATAGAATACAAACTATCCAGCTATTTTAGTTTCCCTAATAATTTCAAGTAAATTAGCCACGATCCTTGGTTATTTTGTAAACTAGCCGCTAATTTAGTTGAAAATATGTTTTCAATTAAAATACCTAGCTGACAGCAGTGGCGGCTCGTGGGTGTACAGGAGGGTGAGGCTACATAAGGTTAATTTTGTCTAAATACAAATAAATTTCCACGTCACCCGGAAGGTATTATTCTGCGACGCGTTGACCTTTTTTAAAATGGAGGTCATCGCCGATAGCCCTACTAAACCATTATAAATAAAAAATAAAGTCTAAAAAACAAAACAAACAAAATATCACATCAAAGACTACTTAAAACTTAAAAATATATTCTTAAAACAGTTAAAAATAAATAAATTAATCAAAAAATAAAACTAAAAAGTCGACCCCTACCTAAGTATTAAAAAATATAAAATACTATTAGCTACTTTTTGTAAATTAAATCTATACGTCTAAGTTTGCAAATTTATCTATTATTTGGTCGTAAAATTGTGGGTCTGCAGTGAGATTTAAAAGTAATTCTAAATTTTTAAACCGCGTCTCTAATTAAAGAATTATGCAATCTATTATTTCAAAATATAAAATTTGCTTAATAAAAACTGTTAAATCTACCTTAGTGTGTTCCCCACAATAATTAAATAAGAAATTTTACTAATCGAGACAAAAACTATAAAAGATCAGCCAAAAGTTTTAAATAATTTAATTTAAATCAAAACAAAACGAAACAAAACGTGCTCTACGAACGCTTAGAGGACACTGGCCTCCCCACCATAGACGGACACGCTATTATAATGTGATAAAACCAGAAATCAGAACAAACCAAGCTAACTTTATGTCGCCTCATGTACGACTGAATTTACGTTGTTTATTCGCGAACTTTAGTTGGAGCTTCCGAGGCTGTGAAAATTTCGCCTCTGTCTAGCGACTTTCAACGATGCACGTTACCTTGACGCGCTTTGCGCCTGGATTTTTATTTACGCTTAGTAGGTATTATTGATTGGTTTTTTACTTTTTATTGGGTAGAACTGTTGTAAAAATACACTTGTAATAGGCAAAAATCTAAATACAAAAAGTCGTTCGTTCCTTCATTTTAAGGGTGAGGCGCGGTCTCAGAGGCCTACCCTGACGAGCCGCCACTGGCTGACAGTTTGGCTAGTTTATAAACTATCCAGCTAGTTTATAAACTATCCAAGTTTGCACATTAGCCGTAACATATATATTAATCACTAAAAGTAAAAAAATTATCGGTCAAGCTATGCTAGTAGTAAGTTTTTTATTAGATTTTTATTTTTGGAAAACAGTTTTATGCTAAATTATTAAATTTTTAAATGCCATTTTTATAGACTTGTAGTTACGCAACTTTTGTCAAATTTAACCGACTTTGTAGCTCTTTAAATAAAGAAGGATATTTGGTGCATCCTGTATAAAGCAATATTGACAATATAAAAATGTTTTTCCATATTAAATACATGAATTTTAACATTGTTTCAGTGGAGATAATGTTGAAGAAGCTTTCCTGGAAACGGCAAAAAAAATATATCAAAGCATCCAGGATGGTCGTTTGGACTTAAATGCTGCAGAATCCGGTGTTCAACATAAACCGTCTCAGCCTGGTCGCAACAATTTGACCGATCAACCAGGAAATAAGGACAACTGTGCTTGCTAGTTATATTTCCAGTAGTATTTATGAATAAACCAAATTGGAATCTCCAATTAAATATTGTTTTTAAAATGATTGGTGAATGATGGCGAGTAATAATATGGTATTATTTTTAAGATGTAATTTTAGTTTTGGCCACTTACTACTTGTATTGGTGTATTTTTATTGATTTGAGATTTTTACTACTACGTGGAATATTTCACTAATCATTTTAGCTCCTCATTTATCTTGATTAAGATAAATAGGGCATTATCTAAAAAAATACTATAGAGGAATTTATGTTAAGGGCAAAAATGCACTTATTTAAAAAAATGTATGGGTGTTCATAGAAGACAAGAGGTTAAATTAGAATTTTTTTATAAATTTTAATTAAAACATACCTGGGGACACCCATAATAATTACACTAAAATGTTTGTTAAATAATATTATGTATATGCAATTTCTGGTTCATAAAGTACTGTCTATTTGTTTTTTTAGAACTTTTAAAAGTAGTTAAAACTACATACTAGATTTTTATTTGTAGATTTTGGTTACCACAAAAAATTTAGGAACGGTTTGCATTAAATGATGGTTAATTCCCTACTGTTTGTTTCATCATGACTAATTTAAAAATACTACTAGGAGGTGACAATATTTCATTTTGTTTAAAAATCTACCAATTTTGTCCAGGCTGTATAGATTTTTTTGATATTAATTAAGTAATAATTCTTATATAAGATTTAATGAAGATAAACACAATGCTATTTTTTCTTGATTCCATGCTTTAACAGAATAAAATTTCATAAAAGCAAATTTTTTAGTAATGTATGTTTGTAATTTGTGATGTATTTATTATTAAATCATATATAAATAATTTAGGGTTAAGTTAATGCATTTTGTATTATTTTAAATGTTATATAATATATAAATACATATTCTCTTATGTTAAATTTGTTTATTTTGACCCTACAAATTGTGTTTTGAAAAACAATGCACTAAGCTATTTTAAAAATAACACATTTAAATTTCGGCGCGAAGCAAGTGTCATATCTCTGTCCCGCCATTGGTTATAGGTCTATAAAAGGCAACTCGTAAAATCGGAGAAACAAAATGGAGCTGAATGTTTTGTTAAGTGAATCAAATTATTGCAGGTTATGCGGAGAAGAAAACCCCATGGGAACAAATGTTTTCGTTCCCGAAGAAAGTGGCACGATTTACCAGGAATATATAAACAAGTATTTGCCCCTTAAGGTACCCATCTAAAAAAAATCTAGTTAACAACTTGATTACCACTGTATGCAGTGGGAAATTTAAATTTTTGATATTTCTTAGGTTAGCATTGATGATATATTTCCGAAGAAAATATGCCCAGGATGTTTGATAAATCTCGAAGCAACCAAAGGCTTTATGGATCTTATTATTGCTGGCCAAGCTAAGTTGAGAGAAATACTTCGAACAGAACAAGAAAAATTTATCAGACAAGAAAACCAAAGGTTGCAATTAGAAGAAGTTTTGCACAATGTAAACCCTAATTCAAGTGTTGAAACTTACACTATAGAACATGATGACAATGGAGAAAAATATGTTATTCAAAGTAAAATTAATAACCATGTATATTCCTTATTAAACATTACATTTTAGTAATTTCTGAGGGGCCTTTATTTCCTAATGATCACAGATTATCTCTAGATGCTGAGGGTTTAAATAAACCAAAAAAGAAAAGAGGAAGACCTCCTAGAAGCCAAACTGAAGTAAAAGACAACTCTCATCAAACACCTGTGGCAGATAAAGAAAAAAAGGTGGAAGAAGAAATTGGTCTTGATGGCAGAAGAAAAAGACGAATTAAAGTTCCACAAAGATACCAGGGGGAAGTTCAGGTATTTAAAAAAAATGGGTTATTAGAATTTGTCATAAATACAATGACAGCAGTAAAATCATTGGACCACTTTATAACATTTCAAATTTCTCTAAGCCTTAAATTAGGAGTGTGGGAATAGTGTTCAAATTGAATATTATGTGATTCCAATTTTCATTATGTAAATTTTACAGTAAGGGAAAATTTTAAAAAATCACTAGAAAACTGGAATAATTCACAGAAATACAGACAGTATTCGAATTTTTCAATTGGTCCAAACAGGCTAGGAAGTACCCAATTGGTCTAAATCATGGTCTATCCAAATTATTTTTACAACCTAGGCAATTATAAATCACTACAAGTGAGTCTTGAGTCAAGACTCTTGCTTTGTTCTATGCTCTTGACAATAATAAGTTCAGTTATACTGTGCGACAAAATTTGATGAAAAATAAATAGCTTTGTTGATACTAAAAAAATAAATGTGTTTCAGGATTTTTTCATATTGGCTTTAGTGTTCTTATATTTTTAATTTTAATTATTTTTTTTATATAAAAAATCGTCATTTTAAAAAAATGATGTATAAGTTTTTTAATTTTGAAAATCAATAATTTTTGACCAAATTATAAATATTATAAATTATAAATATATGTGTAGTAGCGAAAATATATCAAAACTATTTCAAAGTTATTCATGGTTAAAGTTAAAGTTATGTAAAAACTTACTTTTTTTCAAGATTAACCAAGAAAATACTAGACTTATCTCAAAATATTGTTTTTTGTTGTTAATTATTCCAACCGTTAACACCACCATTTCAACCCTCCAGGGTTTTCCTTATAATATGTTTGCCATACAATTTAAATAGCTTTGGTGATAATATGCAGCGCGTCACATAATATATATATATATACAGGGTGGTCCAGTTTGAGATACATTAATTTTAGGAGGTGATAGAGAATCAAAAATGAAGGGGACTTTCCTAATAAAATATTTTTCAAAAGTGCCTAATAAGGAAGCTATAGCCCTTCAAAGTGGGAAATAAATAATAGTTTTTTTAGCATAACTTTTGAACCGTTTAAACGATTTGGTTTAAATTTTAACCAAAGTTTGATAAAATAAGTCTTGTTCGACCAGTGATAACGCGTTTTATCAAAATAATTCAGGGGCGTAGATGATGGGGGAAGCTCCCCTTTTTCCCTCCCCATTTTTCAAATCCTTGCCAATTTTATAAATTGTTTATATTTTTGAATTCAAAATTAAATTTGAACAAAAAAGTTACCCCTGGAAAACAGTGACTGAAGACTTTGTTTTTGAGATATTCGTGTTTTAATTTTATCGAAAATGCACAATTCATATTTTCAAAGTATTTTTTTAACATATCTAAATTTCGTTATTTATTTGATGCAAACAAAAATAGCAGGTTTTAAAAGGCACTCCTTACTCTTTCGGATTTTAATAGATTTTTGACATTTCGTAGGGATAACTTTGAGTAGGTAGATAATTTATTTTTGTTTCGTAAGTATCGTCTTTAATACTTCTCGGAATAAATTCAGATTTTTAAAGGTTTGTTTCATATTTTCAAATTCGGCTTAAAATTTTGGAAAAAGTTTTGAGGAAAAGTGATCAAGTAGCCTTACGTCAAGCCTCGAAATGTTCCACTAAATGTGATTTAGGCATATTTGGTAAACTTATTTTCTGTTTGTCCGATTGATTTTGTCAAATATCTTTACGAAGAATGCCAAATTTCTTCAGCAATGCCGAGTCTGCAGACATACATTTTGTTTATGGATTCTGCAATGAAAATGCCGCAGCGGCCGTTAGAGAATATCGCAGAAGAAAAATATATTTGACTACCTACATTTTTCAAATTGCTTTACATGCAATGGGCAAAAATATTACATTTCAAAAACATGAATTCTACATTTTCGACATGTTTTAAAAACTTCAAACTCGAATATCTCGAAAACAAAATCTTCAGTCACAATTTTCCAGGGGTAACTTTTTTGTTCAAATTTAATGTTGAATTCAAAAATATAAACAATTTATAAAAATAGCAAGGGGTTGAAAAATGGGGAGGGAAAAAGGGGAGCTTCCCCCCATCATCTACGCCCCTGAATTATTTTAATAAAACGCGTTATCACTGGTCGAACAAGACTTATTTTATCAAACTTTGGTTAAAATTTAAACCAAATCGTTTAAACGGTTCAAAAGTTGTGCTAAAAAAACGATTATTTATTTCCCACTTTGAAGGGCTATAGCTTCCTTATTAGGCACTTTTGAAAAATATTTTATTAGAAAAGTCCCCTTCATTTTTGATTCTCTATCACCTCCTAAAATTAATGTATCTCAAACTGGACCACCCTGTATATTAGGGTGGGCCAAAAAAAACTTTTAATTTTCTATTCTTTAGCTACCATGAAAATATCGTCCAAGATGACGAAAAAAAAATTCTGATGAAGTTTGAGCTCTTAATATCAATATTAAGAGATGGCTCATCGCGATTTTTTATTTTCCATTAGAATAACACGGGAAAAATACATTTTTTGGTTTGGAATTTTATTGCGTTTTAACGAAACAGTAAGTTGTAGAAATCAATACATATTCTTGTAGGGAATTGAACGATCTACAAAAAAGATCTGATATGATTTTTTGCATAGTCGACTCTTTTAAAAGTTATTTGAGGTTAAAGTTCAACTCAAATAGTAAATGATGACTTTTATAGTTTTTCATACTCTATCACAAAATATTGTCTCAAAAACATGAAATATCATATTTTGAGTGTTCTTCGGTAAAACAATACAATTTTTACGAAATATCAATAATCGTGAAAAAAACGGTTTTTTCTATATTTTTTTTTAATTCGAAATTTTTTCTTTACCTGAGTAATGACAAAAAAATTAATCATTTTCTTAAAAAATAATAAATATTCTATTTACACTTGACTATTAGGTGATGTAGAGTAATAAAAGCCATGTGTTTAAATAATTTTTCAATTAAAATAAAAATTGTTATTTCATAACTTGTACTTTTTCACTATCTTAGAATCAAACTAAATTTTTCTTGTTACAATTGGGATATTTTTGCCGGTGGTTTTTAACTACTCGCAATAAGTATCAAATATACATATATATATTTAATATATTTGATATTTGATTCACTTTATCAATAAGAATGTAGAATTTTGGACCCAGGAGGGAAGCTCTCTAGATAATCTAGTATTTTTCAAACGTCTTAGCGTTCTCAATGATGTAGCATAAAGAGGAGTTGCATTAATAGAAGAGTACAACAAATGTTTGATTCTAAGATAGTGAAAAGAGTACAAGTTATGGAATAACATTTTTTATTTTAATTGATAAATTATTGAAACATGCCTTTTATTACCTAATAGTCAAGTGTAAATAGAATATTAATTATTTTTTGAGAAAATGATTATTTTTTTGTCATTAAGACTTAAAAGACGTAAAGAAAAAAATTCGATTTTTTTTAAATCAAGTATAAAAAACGGTTTTTCACGATTATTGATATTTCGTAAAAATTATATTGTTTTACCGAAGAACTCTCGATAAACTTCAATATGATACTTCATGTTTTTGAGCCAATATTTTGTAAAAGGGTATGAAAAACTATAAAAGTCATCATTTACTATTTGAAGTTGAACTTTAACCTCAAATAACTTTTAAACGAGTCGACTAAGCAAAAAATCATATCAGATCTTTTTTGTAGATCGTTTAATTCCGTACAAGAATATGTATTGATTTCTACAAATCACTGATTCGTTAAAACGCAATAAAATTACAAACAAAAAAATGTTTTTTTCCCGTGTTATTTAAATGGAAATTAAAAAATCGCCTCTTAATATTAATATTAAGAGCTCAAACTTTATCAGAATTTTTTTTTCGTCTTGGACGATATTTTCATGGTAAATAAAGAAAAAAAATTAAAAGTTTTTTTTGGCCCACCCTAATATATATATATATATATATATATACATGCACGGCTATCAATGCGAAGCCCGGTGCATTACACTGGCTAGTCGAAGCCCGGTAATGCGGGACGGGGCGGTTAACTGTTCGTTGGTGCATAAACAACAAGAAACACACTCCGCTGTGTATCAGAAGCCCTGCGGTGTTGCCAATGTCTAAATTTATAATTATAGGGCCATTCCACGCGTAACGGATAGGATAGTTGCCGTGTTTTTATTTACAAAATAATATTGTTCTATTATATTACCAATGTCAAATTTTTATAAATAGTTCTAAACTAAAGCTGTTTAACAAGGTTTTTATTTGGCAAAATTAGGTATCGTGGTTGACTCTTTAATTCCTTAAAAACTAATAATTTAAAGCGTAACGGTCGGGACTTTGCAATAGTCCCGCGACAAAATTATCGCATAATAAATATAAAAAAATTAACTCTAAAACGCCTTTACCAATCTTTATGAAATTTTGGATAAAAATACTTCAACTTATATCTCAATTTACGTGTTAGAGGGTTTTTCGAGAAAATATGTTTACAGCCTTTTTATTTAATAATGAAAAAAGTTCGGAATATAACTTTTAGGGAATTTTTTTAAATAAATATAAAATATCTGTTAAAAAGCGTATTTTTTTAGTACACCCTGAAAATTTTGTACAAATCAAACGAACATTAACGAAGATACAGCGCTTCAAAGTCGGTAAAAATGACGCCTTTTTGATTATTTTGCTGAAAAGTGGTCATTTTTCACGACTTTGAAGCGCTGTATCTTCGTTACTGTTCGCTTGATTTGTACAAAATTTTCAGGGTATACTAAAAAAAATACGCTATTTAACAGCATATTTTTTATTTTTTTAAAAAAATTCCCTAGAAGTGATTTTTCGAACTTATTTTCATTATTAAATAAAAAGGCTTTAAACATATTTTCTCGAAAAACCCTTGAACACGTAAATTGAGATATAAGTTGAAGTATTTTTATCCAAAATTTCATAAAGATTACTAAAGGCGTTTTAGAGTTAATTTTTTTTTATTATGCAATAATTTTGTAGGGCAGTGTATTTAAAAATAGTGTGATTTATAATTATTTTAATAAAAACTATTATATTATTGAATGAATTATAAGTCATTATTTAAAAATGTCTAAATTTATAATTATAGGCAAATTTGATTTAAAAGACCTAGACCAAGTTGAGGAGCATCCGTGGAAAACCGGCTATATCCATTTTAATAAATGTTGGGAAAATTTAGGAAAACTAAACCAAATTAAAAGTTGAAAAATAAAAAAAAGAAGTGGGGATAATTGCTATTTAGTTTAGCATCCTATAAACAAGAAAAATGTATTACCAACCAAATATTGTTTTATAGCTACATTATAAAGTTAAAGCTGCCTTTTATCCAATAAAAATCGTAGATAAAATATTACTTTAACCAAAACGGTTGATAAAATAATATTGTAATGGTAAGTATAAATGGACAATCCTTATCTAAAAGGAACCAAGCGCCAAAAACTATTTTTGGACTTAACAAATTTTTTTGTAATATAACCCCTTTTTAATAATGCTCAAAAAGTTTATCATTATTTAGAACTTCTTTTAAATTATTGAGAGGACTTTCAAATTATAATTAAGTTTTTGAGCAGCATTAAAAATTAGTTAGGTATATACAAATAAGTTTGTTAAGCTCCGAACAAGTTTTTGGTTCCTTTTAGATAAGCACTATCCAAATAAAGAACCCAATTTCTTATTGTTGTTTGGTCGTTGTTTGCCATGTATTAATAAATTGACCAGTTGTGAATGTTAATTGACAAATTGCCATGAAAAGCTATCTGTCAAAAAGCAGTTTTTGCAATTCAATGTTACATGATATTTAATAAAAATAATTTTTAATTTATTTCATACCGCTATTGGAAATTTTTTTAATAAATTAAAAATTATTTTTATTAAAATTGGAAATGTTTCAAATAAATTAAAAATTATTTTTATTTAAATTATTTAAATGTAACATTGAATAATAATAATAATAATATATACAAATTCCCTTGTTTCCCCAATTGCCTTTTAATCCACGCCATGTAGTGAACAAAACATAATTTTGGGAATATAACATTTATTTTGAAAATCAGTAGATACAAATTTAAGAATCCCGCATTATTTTCCCCGCCTTCCTATCAAAAAGTCATCGAGCGTATAGTCCCCATTGTTGCCAGATGTACGGGCTTCGTATACTGCGTAATACTTATACAAAGCTGTATATAATCTCGTTTGACTCGTGTGCCCCCTACCGCCAAAGCATTGGAACTAAGGGTGTATATTTTGATAGGTTTGAATGGCATTAGGAAGCCCACCACTTTTTCGCCATTGAAACAAGGGGGCATCACTTAACTCTAAAACAAATTTATACACGCTAATTTTAGGAAGCCCGATTTCGGGCTTCGTAAAAACCGAGTGGGCTTCGTTTATACTGTAGAATGTAACGTTTCGGGCTTGGTAATGTAGGATTGCATATCTATATATATATATATATATATATATATATATATTATATTAATGTTCGTCTTTCTACGCGTCATTTCTATATGACTTTTTGATGATTGGTTGTTCCTAGTCATTTTCCAGTACCCATGGGTACATGCATGTTCTGGGTTTCCTTTGTCTTGTGAGTTGTTTAATTTGGCTGTACAGGTCTTTAAACTGGAAGTCGTTTGCATGCTGCTTGATTTCCGTCCATATATTGTAGATTACATCTACATTGTACACTTCTGCTCGGTTGACATCTTTATCTTATAAACAAAATTTAAATGATCTTAAATGTACAAATTAATTTATGATGAGTAGTTTTAAGGTTTAAAAATCTGGTCTAAAAAACTATTTTTGAAATTGATAGGATATCCAATTTTCTGATGACGTTATGATGATTTAAAAATTGTTTTTACATTGGAAATACATATTTTATCTTAATGGGTTTTTATTACAAACTGTCATTTTAGGGCAAAGAATTGGACAAATATTTTATTGAAGAGGGTGTTATAGACGGAGATGAAGCTCAACCTGGCATTGTGGAGGATTTAAATAAAAAAAAATACCAAAATGTTATTGGTAGAATAGAAACTGTTGATGGTGAACAGACAGGACAAATGGTTACATACAGAAGTAAATACAGACCTGGTAAGGAAATTTTACGTTTATATTAACATTACCACCTGTTTTATTGCAATTTTGGCATACTTTTATTTCACATTAGCTTTATTAAATATTTTTTTTAGGTCTCAGTGTCATAAGAAAGAAAAAGAAATACACATGTGAGGCATGTAAGAAGAGTTTTCTACATTTTGCGCGATACAAGCAACACAGGCAAAACCATAATATTTACTACACTTGCGCAGAACAGGGTTGTAATGAAGAAAATACCGACAAAGAAATAATTATCAAACATCAGTCCATAAGTGATCATAAAGGAATTAATACCATTGAGAAATATGAAGATTTGGTAAGTTAGGTATATTTTTTAATTTTAGTTTTTGCCTGGTTTATATGATTTAACAGGAGCATTTACTACAGGATGTCCCAGATTATAAGTCTAAATACGAAATAAAAAGTATTATTTTTATTTTTAGTTTTATTTAAAAATAAATAAATAAAATTAAATGTTAAAAAAAATATTTAGTATTAAGACTTTAATTTGAATGGTCAATAACTACAATTTTTCTATAAAATTATAAATAAAAATATTTTTTTCTCTCTTTAATTTTATATAAAAGTAAATAAATAAATAAAATTAAATGTTAAAAATAAATTTTTTTATTTCGTATTTGGAATTTTAATTGTCAACAACTTTCTCTTATAAACTTTTTCAATAAAATAATAATTTAAAGTACTTCTCTAGAAGCATTTTTAAGTTTTCTTAATTTCCGAAAACCCTGTACATTTGATTTAAAAAAATTTCATGGAATCCCATTTTTTAAACAAGCAGAAGTTTTTATGAAAAATGATTTTTTTTCGTAAAAGAAAAGAGTTATTTTAAGGAAAGATTTTAAAATTTCACAAAATTTCCTTAAAATAAGGCATTTTATGAAAAAATATATGTTCTCCTGAATCCCAAATGTACAATCTTTTCAGGGCAAAAAAATTGTGGCCAACGCACCACTAGACCCGATCCCGGAAAACGAGGCACTAGAAGGAGAACAAAATTTGACTGAATTTCAGTGCGAAATCTGCAAGAAATACTTTTCGTGCAAGCAAAACCTCTACGGTCACATAACGGCCGTGCATAAACAAGAAAAGCCGTACAAGTGTGAACTGTGCGACAAAAGTTTCTCCTTCGTGCAAACTTTAAAGGTGCACCGACTCACCCACAACGAGGACGACGTCAATAAAGTGTACCGTTGCGACAGCTGCGACAAAGTTTTCACTCACCCGAGCAGTCTGCAGTACCACAAGAACGCCGATCACAGCAAGGGCAAACGGTACGTGTGCAACAAGTGCGACAGGTGCTTCAAGCACAAGCAGTTGCTGCAACGCCATCAGCTGGTGCACAGCGATGACAGACCTTACAAGTGCACAGTGTGCCATATCGGCTTCAAAACGAAAACCCACCTGATGAACCATAAGGTCGTTCACTCGAGTAAGTGCAGTTTTTATATTTTGTCGATTAATCTATTTATTATTTTTATCAATTAATAACTCATTAATTTATAAAAAAATTGTAAATAACAATACATTTTGAAAAATTAGGCGTGGAGCAGTGTATTGTACCGTTTGGTTAAATTCCAATTTCATCTTAAAAGTTTTACCTGGCGTCATTAATTTATAATGTCAAAAACGTATATTTTGACATAGGGGAGACCGGGGCGGAATATGGATTATTTATAGTAGGGTAGAGACGTGGTACAAATTCAAAAAAAGCAGAACGATTTATTAAAGTATTATAAACAAAATACAACAAAAAAAATTAACATAAATGCTTAACAATTTTTTTTATTATCGTATTAAAAAAAGTGTCCTTTACTCCATTCCGCCACGCACACGGGGCAGAATGGGGTTATCGGGCTTACACAATTCACAGACAAGTTCTGCATCGTCGTCATCACTCTCTATCTCCGCACACGAATTGTGAGCCCACTTTTGGCACTGTGTGCATAGTATCTAACCAAATGGAAATGAAAATATATATCGAAGTTATAAAAATAAACACAATTTCACCAAGTTTAGTCTAAAACACACTAAAACGTTTGTAGTAACCCGTTTGTCATTACCAACTGACGTGTTGGCCTTCTAGTAAATGACAACAAAGGACGATAGTACTATCGATCGTCTGCAGCGGGAAAATAAAATTAAATAAAACACCGTGCTGCCCCGTTACCCCGTTCTACCCCGGTCTCCCCTACGTAGAGCTGTTCCGGCGAATGTTTTACCTTGCGTCATTAATCTAGAATAGAATGCAGATATCTGTGTTTGGTTAAGATGTTGATGACGCAAGGTAAAACATTCGCCAAACAGACTCTAGTAAAGTGTTCTAAGAATCCGGATGATTTTTTTGTAATACTATACCTACTAAAATAAATTAGTATTTTTTTAGAAATACAACAAAACAAAAATTTGGTATTTAAACTGTAAGTTTGTTCCTACAAGCGTCCCAAACTGTCTAAAACAGTCAGAAGCCTGCGCAATAGGAGTTTGGGTTTTAGATAGTTGTGGGAACAAACCTTGTGTTAGATCTATAAATCAGTATATAAAATAGTAATAAATTATTATTATTACTAATAATGTAAATAATCTATAGAGAGCGGATTGTATGCAAATGCATATTTGCTTATTTGGGTTATTTTATAAGTACATTATTAGTTGTTTTGGAAACTACTGTGTTAAATGTGAAAAAAGGTATATGGTATACCTAGGCACCAAAGTGAGATTTTTCCAGGCTTAAAAATGAAACTTCTTAAAGAATGGAAAAATTACCAAAAATGTTGAAAATTTTGACATTTCAAATTATTTTATTTTGACATGTATGTATGTCATCTACAAAACAAACAGCGCCACCTACACACAGTTAGATATAACTTTCTACAGAAATCTATGTATGATGGTAATTTAATATTTAAAATTTAATTTTTAATTTGATAATATTAGATTTTATTAAGCCGATTATTTTATAGAGAGAAAACAGGTTTCGTTTGAACTAAAAAAATTTATTTGACTAGCCTTTTAGATGTGGAAACAACTCAACTTTTCAATTGTACGAGTATGAGTATAAAAGACGTATGTTTACTTACGCCGATTTTTGTTCGCCCCCAGCAACTGCTCGGCTTCACCCGTGTTTGCTGGATGCGAATGTCCATTGCGTTCCATACGGTCCTCTATTTGGGTCTCGAGAGCGAAATGCCAATAGTTTTAATAGCCATTCCCGGGTTCGCCGAGCCGATGCTATACGCCCAGTAGGGTATAAAGGAGGAAGGACGGGAGGGATAGACATTTGTTGGTGTTTGGGGGACAATTACGCCGACTTAAATCTAAGTACGACGCGGAATCTCCCTAGACCAGGCAATTAGTATTACTCCAAACATTTGGGATTAATATTTGGAGTTGGGGAATTGTTATTTTGCTGCAGGGGTATAGTTTTCTAGTCGTGGTCTACGTTTTGTTCGTTATTGTCATTGTCCGTGTCCTGGTCAGATTGTTCCTGCACTTGGTAAAGTGTGTCAGTTGTTTTATATGTATTATATTTAAATAAATTACTTTGGAATTTTGAATTTTGGTCTTGGACGCATGGTCTAAATATCTCTAAATTTGTCTTAGTCTGTGTCCACATGCAGTTTACGTCTTGTTTTTCATATATACCATGATGTAACTTCTATTCTTCTTTTAAATTGACGGTCGACCTACCCAACTTTGAAAAAGTTATGGACCCGGAGCTCTGGCCTGAAGGTGCTTATTTGTCAAGGTTTTTTTACCCAAGGATAAAAAACCAGCAAACAACCTAAAATGTAGCAATATTACTATTTATTATCAAAATGTTCGGGGTTTACGAACAAAAATACCTGAACTTTATAAAAATATCTCATCCACTAATTTCGATATTATTTGTTTAACTGAGACTTGGTTAAATGACGATATACAAACTGAAGAATTTGGTTTATCTTCATATAATATCTTCAGGACTGATAGAAACGTATTGACTAGCAAACACCAACGAGGGGGTGGAGTTCTAGTGGCTGTTAAAAAGTCGTATGTGTCATGTCGTGTAACTGTTGAACAACCTAATGTGGAGCAAGTATTTGTTGATGTTAAATTAAATAATGACAGGTTTCTAATTGGAACTGTGTATATCCCACCCCAGTCTTCATCTGAGGTTTATGAAGCGCATTGTGCGAGTGTAGAAAAAATTACCGACAACCTAAGTAAACATGTAATCACAATTATTCTTGGTGATTACAATTTGCCACATGTTAATTGGTATAATGATGACCTGGGTGTATGTGCTTCCGGTGTACCATCAGAAAATTGCGACATAGTATCTAATTGTTTTGCTCACTGTAACTTTTCTCAAATCAATACTATAAAAAACATGTATAATAAAATGTTAGATCTTGTATTTTCAAACGATTTAACTATCAATATGGATATAGCAAATGATACCCTGTTGCCTTGTGATAATTATCACCCAGCTATTTGTTTGCAAAAAAACCTAATTAATAATGTAAAGGAATTGAAATTTGATCATTTTTATTTTGACTTTAAAAATACTGATTATAATTCATTAAACAGCCACCTTAACTTAATAAATTGGGATATTATTTTTTCCAGTCTTAAAATAGATATATGTATAAACTCTTTTTACGAAGTATTGGAATATATGTTCAGTTTGTATGTGCCGGTAAAAAAAGCGGTAAACCACAAATATCCATTGTGGTTTACAAATGACTTAAAAGACTTAATAATTAAAAAGAAAATTGCCCACAAAAAATTTAAGCAATCACCTAGCACGAATAACTATACACTTTTTAGTAATTTAAGAAATCAATGTAAAACTCTGACAAACCAGTGCCATAAAAATTATATTAATTTTTATGAAAATAGCATTAATTGTAACCCAAAATTGTTCTGGAACTATATAAATAGCAAAAAAGCTAGCAATTCTATTCCTAGTAGGATGAAATACAATAATTTTGAGACTGAAAATCCAGAAGTGATAGCTGACCTTTTCGCTGAATGTTTTAGTTCTGTATATGTTGATAACCGTGATATAAATGTACCTAATTTTTATTTTGAAAATACCATAGATTTAAGTAACTGTTCAATTTCTGTTTGCGATGTTTTTAAAGAATTGTCTCAACTATGTGTAAATAAAGGTTCGGGACCTGATGGTGTTCCCCCCATATTTTTAAATAATTGTAGATTTTCCTTAGCTAAACCTCTGGCAAAGCTTTACAATTTATCTTTAATTAATGGCAAATTCCCTAACAAATGGAAGGAAAGTTTTGTGATTCCATTATTTAAGAACGGGGATAGAAATGATATTGGTAATTATAGACCAATATCAAAAATATCACAAATACCTAAAATAATGGAAAAAATTATTACAAATAAAATTACACCGTTGTTTGGGAGTATTTTAATTAAAGAACAGCATGGATTTAGCGAAGGAAAGTCTACATTAACGAATCTTCTGGTTTACGAGCAAGATATGTTAGGTGCCTTAGAAAATCGTAGCCAGGTGGACACTATTTACACCGATTTCTCGAAGGCATTTGACACCGTTAATCACGAAATTCTGTTGGCTAAAATAAATGCATTAGGTGTTACAGGAAATTTTTATTTATGGTTAAAAAGTTATTTAAATTCTAGAATTCAAACTGTAATAGTTCAAAATCAATATAAGTCCAGAACAATTAGGGTTACTTCTGGTGTACCTCAGGGTGGACATATTTCTCCACTGCTATTTAATCTATTTATTAACGATATTGGCTGTGATATTAAGTATTGTAAATATTTGTTGTTTGCAGATTACCTAAAGCTGTATAAAGAAATTAAAGATTTTAATGATTGCTATAATATTCAGTTAGATCTCAATCAATTACAATTGTGGTGTGAACAAAATTTGATGAATCTTAATGTTAATAAGTGTAAGTGTATAAGTTTTTATAGAATTAAAAGAAATATTGTGTTTCCGTACTCTCTAGGTAATATTATTTTAGAAAGAGTCACTAAAATAAAAGACTTGGGTGTTTATTTTGATAGCAAAATAACATTTTCCTATCACATTGATTATATTGTAAATAGATCTTTAAAAATGCTCGGATTTCTCAAACGTAGTCTTAGGGATTTTAATAATGTTCAATGTTTAAAAAATGTGTATATGTCATTCGTGCGTAGTATCCTAGAGTATTGTTTTGTTGTTTGGTCACCTTATTATGAGAATAATAAGGTTAAACTCGAACGAGTACAAAATAAATTCTTGCGATTTTGCGCATTCAAACTGAACATTGACTGTACTTATTCCTTAGACTTAGTTAGAAGTATTGTCAATTTGGATCGACTTGGTAAAAGAAGAAGTCAATTTGGCATTTTATTTTTATATAAACTTTTAAATAATTTTATTAATTGCCCAGATTTGTTAGAGCAAAT